AATGAGAAAAAAAAAAGCAAAAGCGCGCTCGTACGAATGGACGAATGGCCCATGAGGGAGGCCTATCTGTACAGGAGGCTCAGGAGCTAATTCAACAGCCGTTTGAGCCCATTCATCCCATCCAACCACCACAGGCTCGGCCAGCGCAGCCAGTTCAACCAGCTACGCAGCCAGCTAGACGGCGATTACCAACATGTGGGAAATGCAGGGATATAGGGCATAAGGCAAATGCATGCCCAGTTAGGTAGTTTATTTAATAAAAAGGCGTTGTGGTTGATAAAAATGGCTATAAAGTAGATAATGGACGGGTGGGTGCGCCGCCCGCTTACATGCGCCGCTCGCTTACCGGTTACGTTAGTTATCCACACACACCAAAAGAATGTCGGGGTCACGTGCCCGCTCCGGGCGGCCCTATATCTAAACGGGTTACGACCGCACTATTACTACTTCGGCCTAGTGCCAGTAGACCTTCGGTGCTTGTCTAATATACATGCGTTCCGCCCTATGTCCGTAACACTATCTAAGTACTTCTGTTAGTGTGACCAGCTGTTTCAACTAATGATAACGCATCCTTCAATCCACTTCATCCAGGGTATCTTTGCACTACTGCAGGGGTTGTCTGGAATCAACATCCCATACCGAGGCTATGGGATGAATACCGTCGGATATTCATTTCACATATTAAAGTGAATACAAAGTCTGAACAGACACCTCGCAACGAAAAAAATAGTCTAACTTGCTACGCTCGTGAGCGTAGAACAAAAACAAAAACATACAACAGCCGGGATTCGCTGGTGGTCACCCACCCAACTACTAACCGGCCGGCGTGTGGCTTAAGTACGGCTGAGCGGACGGGAAGCCCTGTTTTCCACACCCTATGGTCGTATGTGTTATGTTCTTAGATACGGTGGTATATATCTGCCCTCAGGGCAAGTTAAGAGGGTTGCATGAGCCTGGGTGAGTACGTTAGTTATAAAGTGAGCCAACCATTCTGTGCGGGCGCGCGCTCGCTGGAGGCCTTATACAGTATTTACTAACTACTTAATTTTTCTAGTTCATCCCAAGTTAGTCTCCAACCAGTTGCTCCAACTAACTTACATGAGCAATAGCAGAGTACAGAGGTACAAAATCTGGAAGAGGAATTGAGGATAAATAATCTAAAGGCTGAATTACTTGCAAAGTAGATTGAAATTAGGAAAGCGAATGTGAGCTACGTGAGCTACGTGAGTTAGAGTTGAGGACAGCATTAATCATTAATACATAACTTATATTTATTTACTTAATAAATAGCTGGTTTTTAAGTAGTTCTAACTGAGTTTCTAGATAATTACTACATACCGGGAACCTCAGATATATATCTACTAAAAGTATGGTTTCGTGTTCACTACTGTAGCTCGAATGATGTTGCCACTATTCGGAGTGAATAGAGGAAGAACTCTGATTGAGAAAACTATCTATCATAAGTCCTATTTATGAACAATCTGTCGGCCATTAACTAACTACTAAAAAAAAAAAATCGTTGCGAAAGAAGGTCAAAGAGTCAAAACGAGTGCGGAATGCATAGCATAAGTACAGTATGTGCTGGTCGCAGCAGTAAAGTGGTAATTTAGTTCCGCTCTGCCCATGTCGATCACGGAGTGGACGATTCCATCGATGAAATTATATCAGCTCTTATTCTGCCGAGCTTGGACTCTGCGGACCCAGTGCTGCTCCCAATTTTCGCCCCCATATCTTGCGGAGAACCAGGCGCTTATATACGAATAATAAACCGAAACCCTCTGCCCTTCCTTTCATTTCATTGCGCCATAAACGTCAGTTCCGCAACCTAATGCATTCGCAGACCCCCTCAAGATCTCGTTATGCTCGATCACGAATCGTGACAGTCGCCCTCCTAGCACTCCTCTTCTCGGCAGCACCGTGCCATGCAGCCTGCTACTTCCCGGACGGCTCAGCCGCGACTGACATGGAAACATGTCCTGGCAGCAAGTCGTGTTGTGGTAAAAAACAGGCGTGTCTTTCGAACGGGCTATGTTTTGGAGCTGACCTAGGCGTCATTTATCGCGGCAGCTGCTCAGATAGATCGTGCCCTATAGTGGACTGCCCGCGCGCATGCTACACCGGTACGCTTTTTCTCAAATCGCTTGCACCCGTTGCAAACCCGCATTGTTCTCGCTGACTGGATTTTAGCCGGACACAGAACTCCCAGATTCATTCGCTAATCTCTTTCAATGCCCCGGAAATGGCGATTGGACAAACATGACATGTAGTGGCAGAGCCGATGCAGAAACCGCGTGCGGAGTTGATGCTGCAGGCTGGTTCAAGTGGGCTTCCGGTGGCAACGTAATGTCAGGCCAGAACGGTGTCTCGACATGCAGCGATGTAGCCACAGGGACGACGAACCTGAGAGATTCAACAAGCTCGACGCAGACAAGTTGCCCGGCTTGCACAGATCCCGCGAGCCAGTCGTCTAGCCATTCTGCAGTTGCACTTGGCGCTGGTTTAGGCGCTGGGCTAGGTGTACCTCTATTGATATCAACGGCGCTCTTGATTTATTGCATGGGCGCGCGGCGACGACTGCTGTCCGATCCACAGCGGCAGATGAACATGAACCAGCCAATCGCCGGACAGTCAAGAGATCTGCCTTCTGAGTTGAATGGGGAGACATACGTGGCTGAAATGGGCTCTAAAGACACTCGCGCTGAACTGCAAGGATAGCGAGGCCTTTCGGCTTAAATTATCCTTGGCGCCACCCGCAAAAGTGCAGCAGAACGATATATACATATATAACTATATATAATTATTCAATTGGTATCCCGAACTTAGAGTATGTAACCACGGCCGTTGTCGTGTACAGTGAAAGGTAGATGAAGACGAACGCTACGATTGAGTCCATTCGGCCGATTCGGAGAATGCAGGGACATTTATCGCGCACCTTGGCCGGAAAAATGCTGGAGCTCGAACGCTTTTATCTCTCGACCTTGAGATGAGTAACCTGCATCCCGTCTAGGAAGATCATCCCAAATAACTTGAGGGAAATTCACGTCGTTCGATCTATTATGCCCATACGAAAGAGTCTAACGCAGGCGATATTCTAAAGAGGCTCGAATTTCCGCCAATGCCAAGAGGGCTGGGTGCAGGGGTCCCCCGACGCTTACTCGTGGCAACTACCTGTGATAAAAGAGTATGGGTCACCGTGATAGCAAAGTGGGTTAGCTTAACACGCCGAACGGGGGGGAGGGGGAGTCTGCCGAGTAAGAGACGATTACTATACCTATCAAACCTAGCAGATGTCTGAGGTATCAGCATTCACCATCACCTACTATTATTGGATCGCTCTCGCGAGCTCCACCACACTCTTTAGATAGCAGTTTTCCCTGATTCTGGTTCAGAGAACAGATCAACTCCCTGTACGATTACCAGATGATTCAATAGCACATTCTATTTTGTCTATATAGCTTCATAGCAGCTCCTCCTCTCTCAATCTCCGGATCCAATAGTATCGCTGCCGGGTTATCTGCAAACCCGACCGTACCGCTCTTCATTACCTTTCTTTTTGCTTGCCCATACAGAGTACACAGGTCTTGGCAACCACGATGTAACCTGTCTAGGTACACATGCTCAGCATCTGCCCAGTCGTATCTACTAAAATATGGCTTTAAAAAATTAAGAAATTTTCTAAAAATCCTGAAAAAATTAGAGTAAAAATAAGGCAGCTACCTCAGCATTGGTAGAGGACCAATGCGGGCCTAGAGTGTCACTCGGGGCGGGGCGGGGTGAGCCATGATGCTGCCCGCCCCAAAGCCCCGGTGGGTTGGGGCGGGTTTTGCCCCAAAACCCCGAGACTCTCCGTGCTATACCCAATCCGTCAATAGGATGTCGCACTATTCCAACCATGGTTAGTTTGGGGCAGCTAATGGGGCGGGCTGGGGGCCCCGCCCCAAATTCTCGGTGTTTTTTGTATTCCCATACCAATCAACGTATCGACGACATCAACATGACATAGAGCGACTAGCCAAAAGCCATATATATTGATATATATCGATATATATAAATATAGAATAGATAGAGTAATCAGTACAGAGCCATAGATATCGATATCTATCAATATATCAACAGGTAATAGAGTGATTTGTAGGAAGTCATACATGTCAAGAGAGATATATATATATACACGTCGATATATTGGTATGACATAGAGCATTCGGTCAAAAGCCATATATATCGATAGATATCGATTTATATTGATTGATATATATAGACGATATGCAGAGCAATCAGCCAAGTTCCATATACATCGATCGATTCCAACATATAAGCATGGAGCATGCTGAAAAGCCATGCCTTCCCGTAAGGCCTTGTAAACGGGGTGGGGTGGGGCTTTGGGGCTTTGGGGCAACCCGCCCCAAACCAGCTCGCCCCAATGGGGCCCCCAAAAATCAGCGGGGCGGGTTCGGGGCGGGTTCAGGGCGGGGTCGCGGGGCTGTTCGTGACACTCTATGCGGGCCTGGACTTCTATACCAATCTAAGCTGTATATCCCAGAAACGGATGATGCGAATTCAGTGGTATCTAAAATATCACTCTTAATGGGGACCTAGACACTGACTGACGCCATCACATAAGTCAGCATATGACACGTGCTTGTTGTTTCATGCAAGAAGCTAACAGTTTGATATAATTGCCTTTGGTAGACACTTGGTGATATCGTTTCTGGTCTGGAGAAGCCAGCGTTTTTGGTTGAGATCTAGTAATGCATTTCTTCTGCGTCTAGTGCCAGACAGCGCTATCCATCGAAGAATTTGTTGGTTATCATTGTGACAGCGAGCTCAACGGTCGTAGGGTTATGCCCCAAAGATGGGATGGTGAAGGTGTTTGCATTGTTTGACTCAGAAAGTTGTTATGATGCTATTCGCGACCACCATCTCCCACCTTCTTCCTTTCCTCTCTATGTTTAGTTTTCTTGTATTTAGCTACCCAATGTTATTGGTTTGAGCTGGTCCTTACAATCATTAGCATTATATTCACAATAATGTGAGGCTCTGGTCAAAAAAGCCTTGAATGCATATTGGCCCCATCTCATAAACTAGCGATGTATTGGGCGCGTATATAGAAGATCCACCGCCAGCCAAAAAAAATGCATACAGGAAACGGGCCGTCTCATCTGAGTCTGAGATCCATCGCCAGTGCTGTCCCGGATCGACACCAATGTACTGACAATATCTACCAGGAATCCACCGGTGAGCTTTCAACATAGCCTGAGGGTCAAGGTAGTTATCTACCTATTTCAATACACGTGGGTCTCATCGAGTCTTTCCTGAGTGACGTTACTGTACCGCTGCTGTCGAAGCTGGGAGACATCCAAGCTCTCTGCTTGGGCCAAATAGTGTTCACGAGGCAGCTGGCCCTCATCATCAGAGATATCGTCCCCGGGTTCATCTTCATCATCCGAATCCTCACTATCAAGTTCTGGATCACTGGTGGAGTCACTATCAGATCTGTTGTCTGAAAAGATCTCAGTCAGGTCGGAGCTGGCACCGCTCTGATTCTCTTTGTCGTCAGATCTGACCGGTTGGGAGCGAGGTGCCATGGTCGACACAGCCTGTGGGAAACTGGCAAACAAAGGAAATCTTGGAGTAGGAGATAAAGAAGGTGAGGATAACAGGGCTCGTAAAACGGCCACCAAAGTAACCCTTTTCAGCCGCCTGCTAACCGTCACATCAGTAAATCGAGTAATTTATAGGAAGTCATACATGTCAAGAGAGAGATATATATATATACACGTCGATATAGATTGATATATATAGACGATATGTAGAGCAATTAGTCAAGTGCCATATATATCGATCGATTTCAACATATAAGCATGGAGCGATTGCTGAAAAGCCATGCCTTCCCGTAAGGCCTTGTAAACGCTCCAAACCAGCCCGCCCCAATGGGGCCCCCAAAAATCAGCGGGGCGGGGTCGCGGGGCTGCCCGTGGCGCTCTAATTCTGTCCAACATACTGACCTTCCTGGCAGTATGGTCTCTACTCCAATCAATCTGGATCCAAAGGAGGAAGACTGGTAATCCAATTGAGCTGGACAGAGAGGAGGAGTCATCCGATGAGGATATTGCCATGCACGAGGAGGGAACTGTGGAGGGCCCGATTGAACTGTAAAGGTAAGTTTAGTCTCTTTTTCTTTCTTGTATACGTTTTCACACTGCACCTGCCCACCCCAGTCGTACAGGCCCTGTGTACGACACCTAAGCACGATTTGCAGCTCTACGTGGTGCTTAGGACTAGTAACCGAACGATGGTGAAACCAAGCAAGTCAACCTAGTCTGTAACTAACTAGTTAGTTACCGGTAATGGGTGATTAGTAAGTACGGAGCTCGATAACTAACTAGTTAGACTATATTTTAGTGCAAGGATTCTGCCGTTCGAAAAATCTAATTTTGGGTTATTGCAATTTGGCCGCTATGGCTTGCCGTATTACGAGGTCTACACCATACGATAGATGGCTAAGCACCCATTCTAATATTAAGGCGTCGGACAGTCAAGATCACCCCTCAGCAATCTAAAATTCTCCTCTATATAGCCTCAGACAGTGATAATCATGATAATTGACTGCCTGATTCCTCTGAGCTACTTGCTTCATACTCAACATCAAAATAATGTGACATGCAGGTGCTTAGATGTAAGTCGAAGTGGGATTCTCAGGGAAGCGGGGGAACCAATAATTCGCGACTAGACGAGGTCTTGCATGGAGAGATCTATTTTAAGCAGAAAGGTGCAAAAATGCGGCCTTCGCGGATTAACCACCACTACAAAGCTGTATTTTGCGGCGTGGCTTGGTAGCCCGAAGGATCCGATGCCACCCGGTTCCTGAATCAGGATGCCACTGAGAATGGGCAAGCGTAGGTTTTGAGCATATGGGATACAGACAGGAGCATTTTGCATTGAGAATTGAGAACTGGCCGGCGGAATACATAATAGAAAGCAGAAGATAATGGTGGACAACATTGGAGCAGTCTGTATTGCTGGCGGCGGTAGAATAGACAGCAGATTATGGTTTCTGCCATCACCGCCATCACCGCCATCATGCTGCTGAACTTCGTCGCGACATCTTTCCAACCCATACAGTCCATACAATCCACAACGGGGCCAAATGATGCAGAGCCAGACAATGCAAAGTCTCCATGTGCGTCGAGAATACACCCTGAGAGGACCTGAAACATGAGGAAAATTGCCTATCCGGGCCAAAATGGGCGCAGACAGTTTCAACTGTCATTCCTGCGGCATAGCCTCAGCAGGGTGCCACCCCCAAATGGCGCTCTAGGCATGGTTCAAGAGGTTATTCGGATGCCACGCCGGATTCTCCTTCAAGGCAAATTTTGGCAGTGTGGCTATTCCGATTGTGAATGCATCCCGGAGGATCAAAATGGCCCCTAGGTCTGCTCCTACTGCCTTGCGATCCTCTAATAATGTGAACGTACTGATTGATTCTTTATTAGAGCATTAGAGTAAAATAAACTCGCCCCATATCTGAGATCTCGGCTGATCCTGGTGTTCTTCCTTCATGCAGTTTCAGAGCATGCGCAGGTACTGTCGCGATCCTTAGACCCCAAATGTCGACCTTGTGCTATACGGCGTCGCGATGAAGGTGTCCACTGGTCAGCTTGGGGGCCATCTTTGTATACAATTTCACGACAATGTATGAGAGGGCTGGTTTATAAAATACTGCTTGAATCCGTCCCAGAATCGAATTCTCCATCAACAACAATCACAATCATCTTCACTACAAAGCTTCCAAACTCAAAGCCTTCCGCTTTCTACAACTCTTTGCTTTACAGCATCTTCCAATTTCCAAGCAATCTTGATTCAAAATGTATGTCGACACTTCCAAGCTCGCTACCGTGGCTCTCGCCACCATCCTCTCCGCCAACTCGGTCCTCGGTGCGCCAATCGCTGGACGCTCTTCCAACTTGTTGACCCGTGACCCCCGCGGCGGCCACCACTCTAGCTCTGGCGGTTCTACCGGTGAAAAGGTTTCGACTTGGACTGGTGCTTTGTCAGATATCACTGGTGCGGGCGCTGATGCAGCTACTATCGCCGAAGCCGCCAACAACCA